GAGTAAGTGAACATGAAATAATGTTGATGACTCAAACACATCACGCTAAGTAAAAAATCCCATACTATATGATTCCACTTTTATGACAGTCAGTAAAAGGAAAACTGTAGAAACAGAAAACAGATGAGTGATTATAAGGGGACTGACTCCAAAGGGGCTTGAGGGAATTTTGAGGAGTGATGGAAATGTTCTAAATTTTGATTGTGATGGTGGTTACATAACTATAAACATTTTTTAAAATTCATGGAACTGTTCACTAAAAATGATACATAAGTTACATATTAATAAACCTGACTAAAAAAATTAAAACTTCCCACAAAGAAAGCTCCAGGACTTGATTATTTCAATGGTAAATTATATTGAACTTTCAGTTCTATTGAACTTTGAGTAACACCAATGTTGTGCAACTCTTTCAGAAAATGAAAGAGAAGGGGCCACTTTCCAAATCATTTATCATTGGCATGACAGCATGACAAAGAAATCATTGACCAGCATCCCTGTTAACATAGATGTGACAGCCCTTAACAAAATACTACCAAATCAAATCCAGAAATATATATAAAGTTCTCAGGAATGTACAAATCAACTACTAGGACTAATAATTTGATATATCACAGAATACAAGATCAATATACAAAAAAATATTTTATATTTTAAAAGCATTGGGGGTGCCTGGCTGGGTTAGTCAGTAGAGCATGCAACTCTTGATCTTGGGGTTGTGAGTTCAAGCCCCACGTTGGATGTAGAGAGCACTTAAAAAAATAAAATCTTTAAAAAAAATTTTTTTTAACACCGAAAATTATAAAATAATTTTTATAAAATGCCATTTATATATCACAAAAATAAGATACATAGGAATAAATTAAAATATGTATGAGACCTCTACACCAACAGCTACAAAATGCTGCTTTAAAGAAAATTTTAAAGCCCTAATATAAAGAGAAATATAATTTTCATTGACAGGAAACTCGCTATTTTTAAGGTCATTTTTCTCCAAAATGTTATGTAGACTAAAATGCAATCTCAATCCAAATCCCAGTGGGTTATTTTTTGGTTTTGGATTGTTGTTGTTGTTGTTGTTGTTGTTTGTTTAATCTACAAGCTAATTCTAAAATTTACGTGGAAAAAACACAATTTTGAACAGTCACAACAATTTTGAAAAAGACACTACTTGATTTCAAGACTTATTATAAAGCTACACTAATCAAGGCAGTGTGGTATTAGCAAAAGGATAAATACGTGCATCAATGGAATAGAACAGTGTTCAAAAAGAAACATTCTTATTGTCAATTGATTTTGACAAAGGTGCCAAAACACTCCGTTGGGGAAAAAGTCTTTTCAACATATAGTGCTGGAATAAATGGACAGTCACATGGGGAAAAAAATAAACCTAGACCCTTCCTCACATCAAACACAAAACTAATCTGAGGTGAATCATAAATCTAAATGTAAAAAGTAAAGTGTAAAGTTTCTAGAAGAAAATATAAGAGAATATTTTGTGATATGATGGTAAGCAAAGGTGCTTAGACAATAAAAAAAGCAACATGATTTAAAATTTGGTAAATTATACTTCATCACAATTAAAGACTTCTGCTCATCAAAAGACATCATTAGGAAAATATATAGGCAAACCAGTATATCTGAAACATACTTCTGACAATGGGTTTTTTTCAGAGTATATAAAATACTTCTATAACTTAATCATAGAACCTCAACCCAATTTTTATAAGTGAAATTTTTTAAAAAGTCAGCAGGTAATATTTTTAGCAGAAACTTAGAATGTCCCCAGTGCCACTTGGGAGCACATTATTGTCAGAGGATTAAGGTGAAATCATCTCTGCTGCCGAGATTTCTTGTGGATTCTCCCAGGGCCAGACTTATCAAATGTACTTTTGAAGGGAGAAGGTAAAGGCCTGCTATTCAGTTTTGTTTAAAATAATTGGATATGGGGCGCCTGGGTGGCTCAGATGGTTGATCGTCTTCCTTCGGCTCAGGTCATGATCCTGGGGTCCTGGGATCAAGCCCCCCATCGGGTTCCTGGCTCAGCGGGGAGCCTGCTTCTCCCTCTCCCTCTGCCTCTCCCCTTGTTCATGCTCTCTCTCTGTATCTCTGTGTCTCAAATGAATAAATAAAATCTTTAAAATAAAATAAAATAAAACAATTGGATAACATCTTATGCATCTAGAGTTCTAAAGAGCTCTCAGAATACAAGGAACTAAGCATTGTTTTTGGAGGGGAGCTGTTTTGGTTTTGTTTGGGGGAGGGGAGTTTGTTAATTTTTTTAAATAGAATAAAAGCTCACTGGTTCTATTTCAGAGCTCACAATTGATGAATAGCACCAAGAAAGAGAATCATTTGCCTATTATGCCCAAAACATCCAAAGAAATGCCCATCTGAGTTGTCAATTTTTTCCTTTCTCTGAAACTACTCCCTTTATCATATGAAAAATATGCCTGGAAATTTAGGTAATATTTTAAGAATGGTGTTTCTTCCAGATACTTACATAGTTTTATCAATGGACTAAAATATGTAGCCCATTACAAAATTATGTGATTCGTGGATTAGGGTCTTACCTAATTTAATAGTCTAAGGTGGAAACTTTTCTCATCCCTTTTGTATCAAAAAAGATTTTTTTATTTAAGTATAATTTTACTCACAAAACCTCAGGTTCATAATAGACCTTTCAACCCAAATCCATTTTGTATTGTGGATTGGATGACAAGAAGATCCACCTTTCTCAAAAGGGAAGTGAGAATTTAGAGCCTGCTTCTTGGTCTGTCTGTGGTTCATTATATTCACTAGAAGCTAAAGCAGTTACAGAGAGTCCTGGGGCTTCCTCCTTCATGACTGGCCCGACATTTCAACACCTCTTGTATTCGTTTCCTGTGGCTACTGCAACAAATTGCCAAGAAGTGGGTAGCTTAAAACATCAAAAATGTATTCTCTCACAGTTCTGGAGGCAAGAAGTCTGAAATCAGTATCACTGAACCAAAATCAAGTTGTGGACAGGACTATACTTTCTCTGGAGACTCTAGGGAAGAATCCGTTCCTTTCTCCTTTGAGCTTCTGGTGGCTGCCCAGATTCCTTGGATTGTGGTCTCAACTCCAGAACAACTTAAATAGAATGGTGTGTGTGGTCATAAAAGTGCCACACTCTGCCCATTTCCTTTTTCCTTTTCTTTTTGCAACAGCTAGAGTGAATAGTAATTTACACTTTACTGGTCCATTGAATATTCAAGTCAAATCAACAAATACTTATTGGCCACTTATAGTTATCTCTTCTCTTTTTATTAACATATGACAGGATGTAACTCTTTTAAAGATTTTATTTATTATTTATTTGAGAGAGAGTCAGCAAGAGAGCAGAGCAGGGGCAGGGGGAGAGGAAGCAGATACCCCACTCAGTGGGGAGCCTCATGTGGGGCTTGATCCCAGGACACTGGGATCATGACCTGGGCCGAAGGCAGATGCTTAACCAACTGAGGCACCCAGGTGCCCCAGCAGGATGCAAATCTTTAGATTAACAGTACAAGATAGAAATGTAACAAGGCTCAAATTCCAAAAGAGCATTATGAGAATCTAAGCTCAACTTTTACCTAAAGAATTATTAATTCCATAAATATGTGTGATATGATTGCCTACTGTATACCAGGCATTATGCCAGTGATAAAAAAAAAAAAAGCCTGAAGAAGCAGTGATGAAAAGGACATGGTACCTCCTTCAAGGAGCTCACCTTGGGAACAATAAGACATGTGGAAGCAAATGGAGTCATTCTAATTCATTAAGGTAAGAGCTGTTGAAGTGACTAAATGGTTTCTTTTTCTGAGAAGAAGTGACATTTGAGGTGAGTCTTCAAGGACAGGGATAAGTTCTGAGGGCTTGCAAGGGATTTCTAGGCAGAAGCAACAGCCAAGTGCAAAGGCACCTAAGTAGACGTATGGGTGATGTTCACTGGAGAGGTCAAATGGTGGGAAGGGTAGGATCGGGTTATATTGAGGGTCTTTACGTCATGCACAAGAGCCTAGACTTTATCTTACAAGCATCAAGAAGCCACTAGAGGTGGATGTGATCTTTTTTTTCTTCTTTAATATACCCCTTCAACATTTTAAAAACATTCAAAACAAAACAGAGGACAACAAAGAATTAAAGAGATTTCTGCATGGTGAATGACTAGAGAATTCTGAGGGTCAACTCCATAGAATCAGAGATACTTTATGCGGTATGAGTATTGTCAAAAGGGACAAATGTTTAGCCATATTGTAGAGGTGTTCAAGAATGTCAGGGATTTTTTTTTTTTAAAACTAGTTTCCTCACCCCCATCTGAATGGGAGACAGAAGGAATACAGTTTCAGTGGTTTCTGGGCCTTCCCACACCTCTCCATGGTCTCAAAGCATCCAGAAACTTGGTGTGGCCCCAGGACATGAGGGGTGAGCCTCTCCTCTCCCAGGCATCATGGTCACTACAGGTCCCCTGACCCACAGCTCTTGGCTTCTGTTCTGTGCCTGGCAAGAGGTCTATGCCTCATCTCCCACCTTTGCTTTATTCTACCTTCAAACTGAAATCTGCCTGCTGCCAGGAAAAACGTCATGATTGCCATGAGCAGAGAGCTGCCTGGCTTACTCTATTAATCATATGAGCCATCTTTCCACTGGCTTTGAAGTTCTGGTCATCGTTGAGGAAGCAGTCGATAAACAGTAATTTTCCCGTTCCCTCATTCGGAGCAGGGAAAAGAAAAAGGAGATTAAATTCTTGTCCCTGTTCATGATACAACTAAATAGCTATCATCTGCTCTTTTTCTGCCTAATAGACAGGAAGGACTTGAAGATGGTATATCTCTTAAAACTTCTCTCTGCCTCTCACAATACCTCTTCATTTAGCATCCTTTCCTCACTTTTATCTATCTAATTAAGTTTATAATTCAATCAGCACATTTATTGGGTTTCTTTGTGTGTAGGCCTGTGCTGAGTACTCTATTTTCTTCTCAATTTCTAATTGAGAAATGCCAGCCAAGGCCTTCGTTCAGATGCCTCTGCACGTGAAGAGCCTTTTTGCCCAGAATATCCCGACCGCTACTTTCACAGATGCTCTGCTTAATGAAGAGCCCAAAAAGGATCATTTAAACCTGAAACTAATGGTTTGGGCACCTAAACTATCTGGGTTTTTTTTTTTTTTTCTCCTCTCCTGATTGAATTCATTGACCAAATACTTGCAAAATACCTACTTAGTGCCATGCTGATACATTCTGAAGAAAATGTAATCAACAGCTTTATCAACAATACATTCTGCTCTTTAAAACAGATTTAAAATTAATAAATAATTAAAAGAATTTAAAACACTTGTATTATTTAAATATATAATTTCTTTTAACAGTCAGGGAAACTGCAGTCTTAGTGAACAAGATGATAATGTGTGTGTTATGGTTAGTCCATGGCTCTATGGAGAAACTCTGCAGGCATACTTCGTTTTACTGTGTGTCACTCTATTGCACTTAGCAGATACTTCATTTTTTATAAATTGAAGGTGTGTGGCAACCTTGCGTCTAGCAAGTCTATCGGCACTATTTTCCCAATACATTTGTTCACTTCATGTCTCTGAGTCACATTTTGGTAATTCTCAGAATATTTCAAACTTTTTCATTATTACTATATTTGTTATGGTGATCTGGGTGTGGAGCCTGCTTAAGATTCTCTCTCTCCCTCTCCTTGTACCCCTCCCCTTGCTCTCACTCTTGCTCTATCTCTCCAGAGAGAAAGGAAGAAAGGAAGGGAGGAAGGAAGGAGGGAAGAAGGAAGGAAGGAAGGAAAGAAGGAAGGAAAAGAAATCAAAAGCTAAAAATGATTAAGTTTAGTGAAGAAGGCATGTTGAAAGCTGAGATAGGCCAAAAGCTATGTTTCCTGTGCCAGTTAGCCAAGTTGTGAAGGCAAAAGAAAAGTTCTTGAAGGAAATTAAAACTATTACTCCAGGGGGGCCTGGGTGGCTCAGTCGTTAAGCGTCTGCCTTCAGCTCAGGTTATGATCCCAGGGTCCTGGGATCGAGCCCCACATCGGGCTCCTGGCTCATCGGGGAGCCTGCTTCTCCCTCTCTGTCTGCCTCTCCCCCTGCTCATGCTGTCTCTTTCTGTCTGTATCTCTGTGTCTCAAATGAATAAATAAAATCTGTAAACAAACAAACAAACAATTACTCCAGTGAACACACAAATGATAAGAAAGCAAAGTAGCCTTACTGATATGGAAAAAGTTTTAGTGGTCTGGATAGAAGATCAAACCAGCCACAATATTCCCTTAAGCCAAAGCCTAATCTAGAGCAAGACCCTAATTCTCTTCAATTTTATGAAGGCTGAGAGAGGTGAGGAAGCTGAATAAGAAATTTGAAGCTTGCAGTGTTTACTTCATGAAGTTTTAGGGAAGAAGCCACCTCTAGTACATAAAACTGCAAGACAAAGCAGCAAGAACTATGGTAGAAACTGCAAACTGTCCAGAAGATCCAGCAAAGATAATTAATGAAGGTGCTACATTAAACAACAGATTTTCAATGTAGACAAAACAGCCTTCAATAAGAAGAAGATGTCATCTGGGACTTTCATAGCTAGATACTAGAAGTCAATGCCTGGTTTCAAAGATTCAAAGGACAGGCTAACTCTCTTGTTAGGGGCTAATGCAGCTGGTGAATTTAAATGGCAGCCAATGCTCACTGACCATCCTGGAAATCCCAGGGCCTTTTAAAAATTACGCTAAATCTACTCTGCCCATGCTCTATAAATGGAATAACAAAGCCTGATGACAACACATCTGTTTATAACATGGCTTACTGGATATTTTAAGCCCACTGTTGAGACCTATTGCTCAGAAAAAAAGATTCCTTTCAAAATATTACTGCTCATTGGCAAAGTACTTGGTCTCCCAAGAGTTCTGATAGAGATGTACAATAAGGTTAATGTTGTTTTCATGCCTACAAACACAACTTCCATTCTGCAGCCGTTGGGTCAAGGAAATACATTTCATAAGGCTATAGCTGCCATAGATAGTGATTTCTCTGATGGATCTGGGCAAAATAAATGGAAAACCTTTTGGAAAGGATTCACCATTCTAGATGCCATTAAGGACATTCGTGATTCATGGGAAGAGATTAAAATGTCAACATTCACGGGGGGTTGGAAGAAGTTGATTCCAACTCTCATGGATGACTTTGAGGGGTTCAACACTTTAGTGGAGGAAATTACTGCAGATGTGGTGGAAATGGCAAGAGAACTAGAATTAGAAGTGGAGCCTGAAGATGGGACTGATTTACAATTTGATGATAAAACTTGAGAAGTGGGTAAAATGCTATCAAATAGCATTGCTTACTATAGAGAAATCGTTCATGAAAGGAAGAGTCATTTGATGTGATAAACTTCACTTTTATCTTATTTTAAGAAACTGCCCCTGCCACCCCAACCTTCAGTAACTACCACCCTAATCAGTCAGCAGCCACCAACATCACAGCAAGACCTTCCACCAGCAAAAACATGATGACTCATTGAAAGCTCAGGTGATGGTTAGCTGTTTTGTTTTTGTTTTTGTTTGTTTCGTTTTTGGTTTTTTAGCAATAAAGCACTTTTAAATTAGGGTATGTACATTATTTTTTTAAACATAATGATCTTGCACACTTAATATACTGTAGTATAGTGCAACCATAATTTTTATATGCACTGGAAAACCAAAAAAATTCATTTGACTGTCCTGTTTGTGATATTCAGTTTATTGTGGTGGCCTGAAACCTAACCCTCACACACTCTCTCTCCCTCAAATAAATAAATAAATCTTAAAAAAAAAAGTTTGCTGCATGGATGAAGAAAGGAATGAACAAATGAAGGTCATAGTGACTTTCCCAGGATCAATACAGCAAGACAGACCATAGCCAGGTATTCTAATTTCTAGTCCAGATTACTAGCCTTCTCACAAAGACCTTGTCCTGAATTGTTCTGAATTATTGCAATGGAAGCAATTTCACAAATCAAGTCCCATTTCGCCACCCATTTTCTTTGGATGGCATATTATGCAGCAAGGAGATGAGATACGTATAGCAACGTTTCTTTTTTCCAAGAAACACATGCTCTCTTTTTGCTCTATTTTGAAGGGGTTTTTATGATAAACCATGCTGCTATTTAAAACCTGTAAAGCTTTTTGAGATTCTCAGAAGAAATATAAGGTGTAGGTCACAAGGAACAATTTTATCTCTTGCAATAGAATTTCCTGTTCAAAAAATGACGTTAATTTGAAAAGCTGATATCTCCAAAGGAGCATTCTATTAGGTAGGTAATCATCAGCATATTGTCAGCTGCTGTGTAAACCCGTAAGAGTGAAAAAGTAAAAAGCCACTTTGCTGTGTAGAAGTGCTTTGTGTGTTTCATAAAAACCACATAAAATGTTCACAGGTTAGAGGAGCCGCTGCTGTATTTAGAAGACAAATAAGTTCAGTATCACCCCTGAGGAAGCTTAAAGATGTGATTCTCAAGGATCTTTGATGCCATGGATGAAAATGGAATCATTATTTTTCCACTCCCCCTGCTCACGTCATTGACTCCCGCCTGCAGCCGGTCCACTGGTTACAAGTAGCCACGAATTGCCTTGCAGATTGTAAACAGGGTAGCCAACCAGGGCCAGCCAAAGTCCAACTCCTGGTAAGCTTTATCAGCCTTTCCTGTGTGTTTCATTTCCATTTCACACATTGGGGTGGGAGACAATCTATACTTATGCTGGTGTGTTGTGTGTCTGTGTGTGTGTGCAGTATATTTCTCAGTTTGGGGTACATGTTTTCTCTTTTCGCCTCCTCCTCCTCCTTGTCCTTCATTTATCAAGAGTGCTGTCTTAATACTTAAGTACTTCAAGGTTTTTTTGTTTTGTTTTTTAAGAATTGCTCTTTCTGGGGCACCTGGGTGGCTCAGTCATTAAGTGTTTGCCTTTGGCTCAGGTCATGATCCCAGGGTCCTGGGATCCAGCCCCACATCACATCGGGCTCCCTGCTCTGCTGAAGCCTGCTTCTCCCTCCCCGACTCCCCCATGCTTGTGTTCCTGTTCTCACTGTCTCTCTCTGTCAAATAAATAAATAAAACCTTTAAAAAAAAAAAAGTTTAAAAAAAAAGAATTGCTCTCTCTTTGGAGACAACAAAGTGCATTTTTTTCAAAGATGAAAAGGCATACTCAGACTCTTTAGGCTGTATTCATAATTGCTTTGCTTATCACTGTATAATGTTCTAATCATCATGGACCTCTTTGAGGCAATCAGCTGGATTTGGGGGGAGTCTTCATTTGCAAATGAATGTGGAGAAAAGAGGGCTGCGAAATTCAGGGGAACCAATATACTATTTCTTCCTCCTTGTCTCTCTTTAAAAATATTTCCTCTTTCTCTTTTCCACTTTTGCCCTCCCTTCTTTTACCTCTTCCTCCCCATCCTCCTTTTTTCTTTTCTTTCTCTTTCTTTCTTCTCTAACCATCAACATTTCCCCGATCCTTCCTTCTGCTCAGCTTCGTTCCACCATGCCCAAAGCATTCCTGCAGCTGTGGGTTGCCCTGGTACTATCTGGGCTTGTGCATGGAGCCACGTTGAGAAATGAAGAGAAATGGAAGTCACTCAACAACCCCAGAAACCGAGATCTGGTAAGAGCGTACACTGGGACATGCTGGGCTACAGGGTGAAATTAGCACCTCTCTGGACTGCCCTCTGCTAGAGCACAGTGGAGAGGAGCCTACCAAGTGCCAAGAAGATTCCTTAACAGGACTGGTCAAGGGCTTTGCCAGTCTTGTGGCTGGTATCCTATTGTTCTTTTGGCCAATCTACAACTGTTTTTGTAAGGAGAAACAAATTTAGATTTGTTATACAACACATTACATTTGTAAATGATCTTACATACACATTTACTTTATAGACTGGATTTCTCATAGATACACAAAATCAAGAGCATAGCAGGGAAATTATTTTTGCACAGTTCAGACTGATAATAAAACATTCTCATATGACCAACATATGCAAAGCTCAATTGCAAAGACTGAAAATTGACCTGCATTCTTATCAATTTACCAGGCATTATTTTCTTTCTTAGATTTATTTTTAAGTAATCTCTATATGCAATGTGGGGCTTGAACCCACAACCCCAAGACGAAGAGTTGCACCTTCCACTGACTGAGCCAGCCAGTACCCCCCGCCCCCGCCAGGCATTATTTTCAACATAAAGTTATCTAGGAAATAGAATTCAAAACATCAGCAAAAATTCTCTTTTAAAAATATGCCAAATACAATAAACATGCTGACATTACTATTTCAAAATACTATTTCCTTATGGAAACTGATGTAAAATATAACAATATAGGGTTCAAGCAACCAAGTAGCCCTTTGCAAGCTTCTGTGTATCCATTTCCTAAAGGAAAGTTGAAAAACTGCATCTAAAAGCTCTGGTGTAGAAGACAATGCCTGGGATCTCACCTTCAGTCAGAGAGGAGGCATGGAGCTCTGATCACTGTGAAATTCAATCTCTGACCTAAGTGGTTCAGAGGTGGTTTACAACAAACCCTCTGACTGTGATGCTATTAAATAATTGATATTCCTCTCTTAATCTCCACCAAGAATGCTAAATTATCTTGTTTAGGGTTGAAATGTCGGAAAGAAGGCAGGTAAAGAACAGTGGAGGGTGATGTATGAAAGAATGTTAGGGTTCAAAGCTGACAGACAAGAATTCTTGAGATGACTTCGGTGCAAAAAGTGATTTTATTAAAGCACAGGGACAGGACCCATGGGCAGAAAGAGCTTCACTGGGGTCATGAGGAGTGGCCCATTATATACTTTCAAGGTGGGAGGGGGCTAAGGATAGGGTAAGTCTCTAAGGATCTTTGGAAGCAAGGTTTCCAGGATCTTGAGGGGGCTAACTGTTGTTGGGAAAAGGTCATTTATTACTGTCTAATAAAACCTGAGTCATGAGACCCTTCAGATGTATATCGGTGGGTCATATACTTGGGGGATGATTGCTGACATGTATCTTGGGGGGTAGAGATAAAGGAAGTTTCCAAAGGAATTTTTATACATTAAAGTAGACTTACAGAATCCTGGGGGTCGGGTTAAGATTGGTTTTGCCCTTAGCAAAGTATCAACATTGGGGCAGCTGAGTCCCTAGAGGAATGTCACTTTGCCTGTTTCAAGATTTGTCAATGGGCTGGAAGTAGTAAAGAAATTTAATAATTTTTCTTCTGCCTTTGATTCCCACATCAGAGGGGAAGAAGGAGAAGTAGTCAAAATATGTATTTCTATTTCTGGGTTTTCCATCTCCTGTCTCCTAGATTGGCCCTTAAGTCAATTCACAGAGGGAAAAAGAGAGGGGAAAATATCTGTCTCTGAGTACTTTTTATGTTTAATTTACATATAGCATTGAACACTTTCTTTCTCTCTTCAGTTTTTCAGAACTCTTCAGGCATATTTTAAGGGAAGAGGTCTTGATCTCGGGAGGTTTCCAAACACTTTCTTCATGAATGAGAATCCTAGACCTCTCTCTTTCCAATCAGAACTTCTTGCTTCTGCATTTGCAGATTATGAAGAGCAGAAAAACTCCTTTCCTAATTACCTCAAAGGCTGAATGTTTCCTCTGAACACAGGTAAGTTATTCCTTTATCCCCAGGATCTGTCCAATTATACAACTCAGTCATAAATAGATTTTGAAAGTATTTATTTGAAAAATGATTTTATTTTCTCATAGAAACATGTGCTCAGTTCTGATGATACTCATCACTATTAATATTTGGATTTGGTTCTTGTATTTCATTGTCTAGTTTTAAAAAGAAATAATAGTTTGGGCACCTGGGTGACTCAATTGGTTAGGTGTCTGACTCTTGATCTCAACTCAGGTCTTGATCTCAGGGTCATGAGTTCAAGCCCCATTTTGGAACTTAAAAAAAAAAAAAAAGAAATGACAACTTATGATTTTTTTTCTTTTTTTAAATTATGTTAGTTACCATATAGTACATCATTGGTTTTTGATGTAGTGTTCCACGATTCATTGTTTGCCTATAACACCCAGTGCTCCATGCAATACATGCCCCAGTTGCCCCTAGTCTTATTCTTATTACCTTAGCTTTCCTATCAAATAAGTATTTACCATTAAAATAAAGCAGGTATGCTGTATTCCAAGAAAATACATTGTGATTCTAGTCTATTAGCTTTTTGTTTGGCTCAATAATAAAGTGAACTGAATCATAATTAAAATCCCCCAGGGGCATCTGGGTGGCTCAGTTAGTTAAGTGTCTGCCTTCGGCTCAGGTCATGATCCCAGGGTCCTGGGATCGAGTTCTGCATTTGTCTCCCTGCTCAGCAGGGAGCCTGCTTCTCTCCCTCTCCCTCTGCTGCTCCCCCTGCTTGTACTCTCTTGCTCTCTTTCTCTAATAAATAAATAAATCTTTAAAAAATAAAAAAATAAAATATAAAATCTATTCCCATTCTTTCACAAGCTAGGGATGGAATTCTGAGGAAGTATACCATTGTTGCACTTTATTGTGCATGTGAAAGGGTTTTGAGTATTAGTTCCTTTTTAAATGTGATGATTTTTTATTTTTTTATTTTTTTTTAAAGATTTTATTTATTTATTAGAGAGAGAATGAGAGATAGCACGAGAGGGAAGAGGGTCAGAGGGAGAAGTAGACTCCCTGCCGAGCAGGGAGCCTGATGTGGGACTCAATCCCGGGACTCCAGGATCATGACCTGAGCCGAAGGCAGTCGCTTAACCAACTGAGCCACCCAGGCGCCCTAAATGTGATGATTTTTTAAAATAATGTTTCTTATTCTAACAGAAAGATGCAATTTACCATGTGGCATATGCACTTGACAGCTCCTACAATGACAAATAAGACAGAATAAACAGAAAGATGTTAATGAAGGGTTCCCTTGACTATTATTCACACTTAGGCCCTAGGCTATTAGACACTAAAACAGAACAGTTGTTAATACTACAATGGAATATTATGCAGCTATCAAAAACCCCGAAATCTTGCCATTTGCAACAGCGTGGATGGAACTAGAGGGTATTATGCTAAGCGAAATAAGTCAATCAGAGAAAGACATGTATCATATGATCTCACTGATATGAGAAATTCTTAATCTCAGGAAACAAGCTGAAGGTTGCTGGAGTGGTGGGGGGTGGGAGGGATGGGGTGGCTCAGTATGTGCTATGGTGAGCGCTGTGAATTGTCTAAGACTGATGAATCACAGACCTGTACCTCTGAAACAAATAACACATTATATGTTAAAAAAAAAAAAAAGAAGATAGTAGGAAGGGAAAAATGTAGGGGGGGAAATAGGAGGGGGAGACGAACCATGAGAAACTCTGGACTCTGAGAAACAAACTGAGGGCTCTAGAGGTGAGGGTAGTGGGGGGATGGGTTAGCCTGGTGATAGTTATTAAAGAGGTCACGTTCTGCATGGAGCACTGGGTGTTATATGCAAACAATGAACCATGGAACACTACACCAAAAACTAATGATGTAATGTATGGTGACTAACATAACATAATAAAATAAAATTTTTAAAAAAAATACCACAGTACCTGCTTCAGTATGAGACAGAATTGTATACAAGTTGGTTGTAAGCCTTGGTTTCTTCATTTATAAATTGCAGAAACTGATCTCTAGGGGCGCCTGGGTGGCTCAGTCGTTAAGCATCTGACTTTGGCTCAGGTCATGATCCCAGGGATCGAGCACCACATCAGGCTCCTGCTCGGCAGGGAGCCTGCTTCTCCCTCTCCCACTCCCCCTGCTTGTGTTCCCTCTCTTGCTCTCTCTCTCTCTCTCTGTCAAATAAATAAATAAAAAACCTTAAAAAAACAAAACTCCCTCTCTGTTTCCCTCTGCCTTTCCTCCTGCACTCTCTCTCTCTCAAATAAATTAATCTTAAAAAAAGGGGGGGGTCATTGTGTTGCTTGTATAGTCTTCACTTTCTATTTCGTGATAACATTTTCTTGTTCTTTCAGATGTCTGGCTATTTTAAAACTACAGATGAAGCTTCGTGTTAGAAAAATTCAATCATGGTTATGGCTAAACCTTTTCCCCCTCCACTTATTTGTCTTTATAATGATTTTATTCTACATTTCCAGATTTACATATAAATAGATTGACCTCTGGGACAAATGTGACTTATGTGCGTATTTTTGAAGTCTTTTTTCTATTCTGTAAAACCATAAACACCGATGTAGAGCACTGCACCTATTTGTAAGAATTACAAAAACACCGCAGAGTCAGAAGAGATGATCTTCTAAATTACATTTCTTTTAAGCTTCTCCTTAAAACTTGTATGCTAATTACCTTTTATCAATAAATGTTTTTATTTAAAAGAGACTCTGCTATTTTTTACTATAGTTCATTATATGTCATAGAGATTTGGGCTTAAAATTTGTCTTTTTCCTGAAAAGAAGATGCATTCCCACTTTCAGCATGTTATTGAGAAACCTTACAGTTTCATACCAAGGGAGAAGAAGTGATAAATAGCCACAATTAAGTTGAAATGGAAAGAAAAAACCTTTGGGATTCTAGGAGTTGCTAGGGTCTCTAGGAGATATTACCTGCCACCATATTCAGAGGTGGACATGAAATATCCTAGCCACAATCCAGCTCTGGTTTTTCTCCACACATGTCCTTAAGAAGGGAGAATAGAAATGGGTGGAATTCCCTTCTTTTACAACCAATTTTCTCCTCTTCCTACCAGCTCAGGCTGAATTATTCTGATTCTTGTATTTTCACTTGGAATACCACTTTTCCTGTATCATTATGGAGAGCTGCATCATTTTCTCTGTGATTCCTACAAAAAGAGCATTGTACTAGAATGCAAATATTAACATCCTAGAAACATTAGTCTGTACATTCCACAATAGTCTTCTGTGGCTTTTTGTGGATCATTGATACTCAATATCAATAATAAAGTATTTATGCAAAAATAGGTTTCTGAATCTGGTTTAATTCTTTTTTTAGAAAAGATTAATTTATTCATTTGAGGGAGAGAAAGAGTACATGCACCAGCAGTGGGGAGAGGCAAAGGGAGGAGAAGAAAACTCCCCTCTGAGCAGGGAGCCCAATGCAGGACTCGATCCCAGGACACTGGGTTCATAACCTGAGCCAAAGACAGATGCTTAACTAACTGAGCCACCCAGGCACCCCTAATTTGTTCTGTTTTAAGTAGTTGTATATGTGCCTGTTTTCCCTGGAGTGTTGTGAGGTCTTTGTGAGCAGAGATTATATCTAAGCCATTTTTATTTCTCCAGCACCTAGCACAATGCTCTGCATGCAGCAAGTGTCAAATAAATATGTCTTGAAGTGAAGGTGTGCTATTCTATTATTCACACAGTAATAGAAGTTCTTCTAGTTAATGTCAAGATTATGTTTCTTACCATTTAAAAGATATAAGTGATTACTGATGAGCTATTCCTCATAAAAATATAAGCTATTCAGATAAAGGGTAGAATGGTAAGGAGTGTTTTACCACTGTCCAGTTCTACTCAAGACCAGTGGCTGGTTTTTCCCTTTCCCTTTTATGACCCCCACTCTGGGTGTCAATACCTCCACAAAGGGAATGCTTATGTTTCAGGGCCTTTGAAAAGGAAGAGCATCCACATGGACTTTTAGCTAGGAGCTAACACAATCTCAAGGCAGGAGCATGCATCCTTCTGCTGGAAAACTCCTCACCGTTGGCAGGTAGCTGTTGATGGAAGGCCTGACTAGAGTTTCTTGATGGTGATGCTATTGGCAATTGGGGAAGGACAAGTCTCCACTTGTATGACCATTTAGCATCCCTGGTCCTCAGACACTGTATGTCAGTCATTTCCCCACCCCTGCCCTATTATTTTGACAACCCAAACTTCCCTACAGACATTTCTAAAATCCCACAGGGGAAGGGATATTTTTCTTGGCTGAGAGCCATTGCTAGGAAAAAAGCAGAAGTGTCATGTTTCCTCCAATGAAAATGTTTTGTACGAGATTCAGGTTCTTAAGGGGCCCATGGTAATTCTTTCCATAGGTCTCTGACAGCCTTTCAACACTGATTCTGTTCCCTTTGATGAGTACTCCATTCTCAGGACATGACCTATTGTCCCCTATCACAGATCTAGGGGAGTCAAGAACCATTAAGGGTTCTAAGGCTCTACTTGTAAGCCGCACACTATCCTGTTGCAGTTTCAGATTCTGTCAGACACATGAGACTCTTGGGCTGAGGCAACAGACTTTATTACTCATGGAGCTGCGGGCAGCATGAGTTTTACATCCGCATTGGCTCTCCTTATCCCCCCAAGTATCATGGGAGCCGCATGGAGGTGCGTTCAAGTATATGCTGCACACAAGTGGGTTTGTGCCACAGCTGAGGAACCCCAAACTTAGGAAATCCCCACTTTTATAAAGGGCTACTAGCAACACACCCAATCTTTGCCCCAGAGGGAAATATTATATTTAGTGTACTGGTCAGAAAACAAATCTGTCCTCTGCTCCAGGGAAAGATAATTCCTCTTTCAAGGTTGTTTGTTCTACAGACATCTTTGAAAATATAGCCCAGATTGAAAGTTGTCACAAGCTTTTGCAGAAAAGTGAGAGAATTATGGAAAAATTGTCTCCCCAAAAGGATCACACCCCATTCCGGTTCCTCCCCTTGAGGAGGAGAAAGGATGGAGTCATCTCCTCTGTGTACTCTTAATTCTATTGTCATGTCACAAATTCAATGTTCTGCTTCCTTCAGACATTCCATTTTGATTCCCAAAAGCACTCAGAAAGTCTGAAAGATTTCTTCTTGCTATTTTTATTACTTCTAGAACAATTCCACTTCATCTCAAGGTAATACGGATGCCTCTGACTCACCAGAGGACAAATCACTTACAAGGAAGTGGAGAAAAGAAAAACAGAAAGATTACGATTTTATAAGATATGTTCCTATAGTCTGAATTGTAGAAGAACTTTCGTGTCTGGGGCACCTGGGTGGCTCAGTTGTTAATCGTCTGCCTTTGGCTCAGGTCATGACCCCAGAGTCCTGGGATTGAGCCCCACATCCAGCTCCCTGCTCCACAGGAAGCCTGCTTCTCCCTCTCCCACTCCCCTTGCTTGTGTTCCCTCTTTCGCTGTCTCTCTCTGTCAAAATAAATAAATAAAATCTTTTTAAAAAAAAAAAAAAAAGAACTTCGTGTCCACAAGGTGTTCCATAGCAGTGTTTAAAATAAAATTCAAACTTTAAAGTAAATTTTAAGGATCTTATTGGCTTTATTCAATGAACCATGAATTGGGCATCATCTAACAAATAGGAGCTCCAAAGAGCTGTACACAATGAAAGACTTTGGTAGCTAGAAGGTGGGACAAGGAAGTTACTAGCAGAGAGTAGATTGTTTGTGGCAAGGTCACCTCCCTTTAGGGGACAGCAGAGGTCTATCATGCAGTGAGGTCACCTCACTAGTGCTGACCAGGTAATTACAGATTGACCAGCTTAAGATTTCACTCCTGAGAGAGGTTGAAACTGTAACTAAGTATTAAGTCTTGGTTTTGTGATGTGGGTTTAGCACAAGTGATTCCATTTTGGGTCTGTTGTCCCTTTATCAACAGCATAAAAGCTATCCTTCCACTCCATGCTCCCTGTTCTCTATTCTCCCCAACGTGAATCTACAGCTTCACAACTGTTATTCCATATTCCGGGGAGCTAATAATGAAACAAGTTGGTCTAAGCCATCTGGGTCTTAGGAGAGAGTTCTTATGAGGTGAGCATATTTCCTGCCCTTGCTTCCCTTCTTTTCCCCTAGGAAGTTATGACCAGACCCTTGACTTCCTCTTAGATGTAGTTCCCTGACTGCCTGGAGAAATTCAGGGGAGAATTTCCCTATAAATGATGTCTTTTGAGAACCTTAATCCAACCCACCCTGCTAGCCTCCATATTTTATACCCAGGTAGAGTGCTGAGGATTCTTCATCATGAGAAAGGGGAGGACTTCTAGCTGTGAGGTATTTTTCTCTCACCTGGAAGTCTTGGGGTCGTGGCTTTCATTCTACCATCCTACTGTTGCTTATCCTCATCCAGATTGTAACACAGAGGTACTAATGGCTAAGTGATAGGCTCCTTGTAACTTGTCTTTAAACTTAGCTTTATGTCAAGATGCATTCCCCATACCTCAACGCTCTTGCCCATTTCCAATACACTTTCAAGTCCATCCAATTTAATTCATAAGTGTGTTTTGATAGATTACTAGAGTTCACAAAGATGCATCAGGTAGTACTGTTCTCAGGATGTTGACAGATAGTGTCTCTAGAATAGGACAGTGGAGAAATAGTAATAATAGAAATATTAATACAAGGTAAAATACAGACCACAGGAGTGTTCAGGAGGTAAAGAATAGTTCCATTGAGGGGAGGCCATATACAATATTAATTCCACGCATGGGATTTGGGGTCAGATAGACAAGGGTTCACATCCTGGCTCTGCTCCTTATTAGATACAGGACTTTGGCTTTAAAAATAGCAACATCTGGGGGCACCTGGGTGGCTCAGTCCTTAAGCATCTGCCTTGGCTCAGGTCATGGTCCCAGTGTCCTGGGATCAAGCCCTGCATCTGGCTCCCTGCTGTGCGGGAAGCCTGCTTCTCCCTCTCCCACTCCCCCTGCTTGTGTTCCCTCTCTCGCTGTGTCTCTCTCTGTCAAATAAATAATAAAATCTTAAAAAAAAAAAAAAAAGAATAGCAACATCTGTTTTTAAGGATTATTTTGGGCAATGTATGTAATACACATAAGCCAGTACGCGTCCTATGGTAAATGAGCAAGAGTGTATGGTAATCACATCAAGCATTTGATTCTTTTTAAAAGTTTGTTAAGAAGAAAACTTGGGTAGGACTGATAGGTGGAACAAGAAGTCCTGATAAACTTATTTACAGACTGAGAAGGAGCCCTGAGGAAAGGGAGAGTTTGAGGATTCATGGAAGACAGGAAAACTAACTGATGGTGCCATTGGTGGAGGAGATGAGATTTAGAGCACAAATTGGGAGAGGACTTTTCGCCTTCTGTGGCAAGGGAACAACGGAAAGTAAACATGTACGTGGCAGTGCAGATGGTTACATTAAGAAAATAATCACTACAGCAAAGTTCAAATTAATTTAAAGAACAAACATTCAGAAAAGGAAATGAATTGGGAGTAAGAATCCTAATGAAGAATTGAGGGAAACGATCCAGATTAAGGAAAATGTCTTTAAAACACTTTTTTTTCTTTTCTTTTTTTTTTTTTTTAACTCCCCAATCATCTTAAATAGGAGGCGTAAACCAGCATAGCAGGCGAGGCCCAGAACACCGAACTCCGCCCAAAAGATCCCGCTCCCGCCGCCTGGAAGGGAGCCGGACCAGATGCTCCCGCGGAACCCGAGCGCAGCGGCTGCAGCGCCGGCCGGGCCCGTTTCCCAGGAGAACGCCGGGTCGCTTCTCTCGGCGCCCCGGAGCAGGATAAAAATCTTGCTTTTCCGGTTCTCTGTCCTGGCACCTGGTGCTGTATCTCCGCACCCCCGACATGTCGGGTTTCAGCCCGGAGCTCATCGACTACCTGGAAGGGAAGATCTCCTTTGAGGAGTTCGAAAGGCGGAGAGAAGAGAGAAAAACCCGCGAGAAGAAAGTGAGGCGATGCTAGGCCAGGACTCTCCTCACTGTCTTGTCGCCGTAATACACGAATGGGACCTATACGGCCCCATTCGTTGGGATGGGGCGGGCCGGAACTCCCAGCAGCTTCTTCCCCTTCTTCCCCAAACCCGGGTTCTCACCTCTCATCCTTGTGTTAATCTCCTCTTTAAAAATTCCCCTCGCCAAAAAGCTTGTTTCTGTGGTAACCTCTCTCTCTCTCTCTCTCCCCTTCTCTCCCCACCCCCGTCCTCCCTCATCCCGTCAGAGTCTCTGATTCTAGTCCTACCTTCGCCACTAAGTCTCTTTTGTGTTAGGGTGAGCAACTCACCTCTCTTCTTTAGGCGGCAGTTTATTTCTCAACCGAGGGCTCTTTTCTGAGGCGTCTCCCAGTGGTATTGATGTAATCTTCTACAAAAAAGCGAATTTTCTTGTCTAATAACAAAATCTTCACTCACATAATTTTTCATACTTTAGAATATCTGAACTTTCCTTATCTTCTCACTTACATGAAGTCCGAGGGAAAATAAAAATCTCACCCTTTGAAATTAACTGGTGGGTTCTCTCCTAATTCATGCAACTAATAATGATCCATCTCTTTTCACTTAAAAAGCTAGGATACAATGTGTAGATTGATGAAATCATCAAGGTATTTTAAATTATTTTTTATAAGTGACTGATGCAGACAGACGTGGGGAATGAGATCTAAGTACTCTGAAATGCTTTGACTGTTCAAGTTTGGATTCCACGTACTGTATGTGTTTGCAGAGCTCAAGTTTTATAGAAAGAGAAAATGAGGGAAATGCCCTATTCCCAACTGGAGAGAACTAAATCTGCATTATTTTTGGAATCATTAATTTTCAATCAGAGTCTTCAGGAAAAAGGAAAGTTATCAGCTGAAGAAAATCCAAATGACTCTGAAGTTCCATCATCATCAGGAATTGACTCCACCAAATCGCGAGACAAAGATGTCAATGAAGGTATGTTAAAATCATTTTCCACCTGTATTAAATATTAAGAGTACCTAATAATTTAATGAAAACATTGTTTTTTCATTGCAGTGGTATTCTGTTGTTGATTACCTGGTTTATCAGCATAGTGCATGGTGTATAATAGGTGCTCAATAAATATTTGTGGAGTTAATGAATATGGTGATGGGTAGTTTTGTGGGTTATTTTTGTGGAAAAGTGTTTATTTTTATTTTTTAAAGATTTATTTTAGAGCAAGCATGTGCATGTGCCACTCGGGGGTAGGGGCAGAGGGAGAGAGAGAATCCTCAGGCAGATTCCCCACTGAGCGCAGAGCCCCACGCCACCCATCCCAGACCCTGAAATCATGACCTGAGCCAAAATCAAGAGTCAGTTGCTTAACCGGCTGAGCCGCACAGGTGCCCTTTGGAAAAGTGTTTCAGATGGGAGCCTTTTTGAGGTCATTGTTTTTTAAATTGGCTCTTTCAGTTACTAATTACTTCCAGACTGTACTCCCCCAAATTGTAATGGTTTGTACTTCTGTACAAAGTGGCTTCCAAACAACTGCTTTAGTTATAGGAGATAAGATAGAAATGCCAGAGTGGAAGTCCTGTTGGCTGCCCAGATGGGTCCTCACACACAGTAGGTATCTTGGTATGCCGCCTCATTCTAGGATCCAGTCCTCAGCTCTGCATGTCCAGATACTAGATTTGGTTAGTCCCAAACTCATTAAAGCCATCAGAGTCTGATTGATGAACTAGTATGCAAATTCATTAATTTCCAGTGATTCATACACCTTTCTAGTGATCAGAATACTGATAATAGTTCCTAGTATTCATCTACCCATGACAAGTTACGTGGGATACTGAACCATCAATTAGAATGTAGCTTTGTGTATAGTGTCTGATTGAGAACTAAATTGAACTTTCTTGTTCTAGGGAGTAGAAGTAGAGGCTTTTCCCCCCCGCCCCTATAAACAGCTCTCTTTACACAGAGAATACATACTAATAGGATAGACAGAAAACAAGCTTTATTCCTGCCTCCTTCGATCAAGTGGAGAAGAAGGGGCAAAAAGGAGAGCAAATTGGGGTTACTACGGTTTCTTACCTTGTCAGGCAGGTGGGGTGGAAAAGAGGACTGAAGTTGTTCTAATAACTTGTGGGTCTTATCTGCTTAGGGGAGGAATAGCTCTTCCATCATCAGGTCTTTGAGGTGTAACTGTAGTAGAAGGCACCGTTGGGTGCTGCCTCCCAGTCCTGGTTGACTAAAGCTGCCCCTGAGAAGTGGCCATCAGGCCCTCCCTAGAAAAAGGGATTAACTGAGTCGATTCTTGCTTATCAGGAGCAGTAGGCATACATGTATTAGATTGCCTCAGCTCAAATAATCCCATCAGTCCTTTTAAGATAGAAAACTTCCCATTTCCCAGGAAGGAATCATCCCAGAGCTCTATCAGGACCCTTGTTGAGTGCACATACATTGAGAACAACAGAAGGGTCATGAACAGTTTGACATCTGCTAATTGGAATATATGGCCACTGGAATTAATTGTCTTTTTTCTCCTATGCATTACTGAATATCACTGTTGCGTACCTTTCCTACACATCATGCAAATAGGGCCTCTTTTAATTTCACTTTCAGTTCATTATTGCTGATAGAAAAACTACAGTTAATTTTTGTATATTGACCTTGAATCCAGGAACCTGGCTTAAGTCATGTATTCTGGCAGTTTGTATGTACATTCTTTTGGATCTTCTGTATACATAATCACATCATTTGTGAATAATGACAGTTTTATTTCTTCCTTTCATCTCTATGCCTTTTCTCTTCTCTTTTATATTATCCAGGACCTCCAGCAAAATGTTGAAAGGAGTGGTGATAGCATCCTTGTCTCATTCCCAGTAACTAAATAATTCACCATTAACTGTGTGGAAAGTTTTTTGTAGATACTGCTTATCAAATTAAAGCTATTCCCTTCCATTTCTAGATGACTTAGAATTTTTATTGGGAATGATAAATTTATTATTTTTTTATTATTTATTAGGAATTGGATTTTGTCAAATGCTTCTTATCAAGATGATCATATGATTTTTCTGTTACTGGAATAAATTTTATTGATTGGCAGTGTTATATTTTACACATTTCTTTTTATATTTATTTTGGATGTTCAGAATTCTTAAGATGATTGTTATGATTTCATGAGAATGACTATTTGTTGCTCAGAATTTGTGGGTTTTTTAAAAATTGTGTCCTTCCTTAAACATATTAACTATCTCTTTTATCCAACATCCTTAATGTGTCTTTCTTCAGGAGAAATGTCAGATGGAGTCAGTAAGTCAGTTCACAAGGTCTTTGCTTCCATGCTTGGTGAGAATGAAGATGATGAGGAGGAAGAGGAAGAAGAGGAGGAGGAGGAAGAAGAAACACCTGAGCAACCCACTGCGGGCGATGTGTTTGTACTGGAGATGGTTCTCAATCGTGAAACCAAGAAAATGATGAAAGTAAATACTTATTTTAGTATTTATAAATGGAAGGTAAAAGTGTGACATGGTAATTGAAAAAGGAATCTTTAAATTATACATATATTTGGAAAGAATTCAAACTGTGAGGAAGGAAATATGAGACAACTGTTACTGGTTTCTTATGGTTCATCTTATACAGATTTTTAAAAATGCAAAACCTTAATTATGCATGTGTCAGAATGTACTATGGTTTTGCTATTAAAAGGTCCATATTATGGGGTGCCTGGGTGGCTCAGTCGTTAAGCGTCTGCCTTCGGCTCAGGTCATGATCCCGGGGTCCTGGGATCGAGCCCTGCATCAGGCTCCCTGCTCAGCGGGAAGCCTGCTTCTCCCTCTCCCACTCTCCCTGCTTGTGTTCCCTTTCTCGCTGTCTCTCTCTCTGTCAAAAAATAAATAAATCTTTAAAAAAATAAAAGGTCCATATTATAACTTGATATATTTTTTTAAAGACTTATTTATTAGCGAGAGAGAGAGAGAGAGCGCACACATGAGTGAGAGCAGGGGTGGGTGGGTGGGGGGAGTGGGGAGGGAGAGGATCTCAGGCGGACTCCCCGCTGAGCACGGAGCCCCACACAGGGCTCCATCTCATGACCAACCCTGAGATCATGACCTGAGCCGAAAGCAAGAGTTAGACACTTAACTGACTTAAACATCCAGGCGCCCCAATATAACTTGATATTTTTTTAATCAAGTTTATTCTGAGTAGATAAATTTGAAGGAAGGAGAATCTTCAGTAGGTTATATTATAAGAAGTTTCCTGGCACATAAATCCATTTTGCAGCATCAGGTTCTACATTTGTTATTATTCTAATTAGTATTTAGTGATTCCTGACCATATTGGTTTTTGCTTTCTTCATATATTTTATTGTGCTTTGAACTTTCTACTGTAGGAAGTTTGTTTTTGTTTTTTTAGTTTTCTGAGGTATTTCTCTTTGGAGAATATTTTAGAATAATTTCTTTCCTGAGATTAATTTTAGACTTTTTCCTGAAATACAAACTTGAATGTTAATGAGTCAGTATTGAAGTTATTTAGTCCTTAGTTCTCAATTTAGAATATTAAGTTTTAAAAAGAAATTTCATTTTCATTATCTTCTGCATTTATTAATTGGTTTGAATTGAAATCTAAAATATTATTATATTTTAGCTAAATGTTGTTTTTTTTTTTCTTTTTCCTATACAGGAGAAAAGGCCTCGAAGTAAACTTCCCAGAGCTCTGAGGGGTCTCATGGGTGAAGCCAACATTCGCTTTGCTCGAGGAGAACGTGAAGAGGCGATATTGATGTGCATGGAAATCATAAGACAAGGTGGTTTTTGTGGGGATTATTGATAATAGCATTTTAATAGTGTGACTTTTAAAACAAATGGAGGAGCACTTCACTGTATTATTTGGAAAATATGTTCAGAAGCTTGGAGGTGATTGTTATAACAGTGATACGCCACTTTCACATTGAGTAGAAGTCCTTACCAAGAAAATGAAAATCCGAGTATGGCTCAATGAAATATTAATATCTGTTGAACTCTACCAGGCTTCTTTTTTGTTTTTGTTTGTTTTTTAATGTTTTATTTTGGGGTTTTAGACTTTTGTAGCATTAGTCTTTTTTAAATATGGCAAGCACATGTTAAAACCATTTAAAAAGTGTTCTTTTTTTTCTTTCCAGATTAGGCAGAGCTAGATTATTTTAATCTACTTTTTGATAAAAAGCACAATTTATACTTATTATCTTTAAACTGCACATCTGGGGCATATTGAAGGATATCTTTGGAAGTGACTTTCTGACTAATCACTTAATATTTATTATTTTGGTTTCCTGATGTGTTGCCAAATAATGCCCTGCATAGTGGCTTAGGTAGTTACAATACAGTGAACTCTTAATTTATCTTTTCAGTATTTTGGCATTTCCTTTTATCTAGATGAGGGTCCTGTTAGAAGTCTTTTTTCCTTTGTTAATTTTACTGTTTTCATCATGATAAATGTACTCTTTAATCGCTGTCCCCTATTTCCCCCATCCATCCACCCACCTCCCCTGTGGTAACCATCAGTTTGTTCTCTACAGTTAAGAGTCTATTCTTGGTTTGTCTCTCTCTCTCTTGTTTTTCTTTGCTCATTTGTTTTGTTTCTTAAATTCCACATATGAATGAAATCATAATGGTATTTGTCTTTCTCTGACTGACTTATTTCGCTTAGCATTATACTCTCTTGCTCTATCCATGTTGTTGCAAATGGGAAGATTTCATTCTTTTTTACGGCTAAATAATCCCTTATATATTTATCTTACATCTTCTTTATCCATTCATCTAGCGATGGACACTTGGGTTGCTTCCGTAGTTTGGGTATTATAAATAATGCTGCTATAAACCTCAGGGTGTTTTTGTATTTTTGGGGTAAATACCCAGTAGTACAATTACTGGGTCGTAGGGTAGTTCCATTTTTAATTTTTTAAAATTAAACTCTCTTCCCTATACTGTCTTCCCCAGTGGCTGCACCAGTTTGCATACCCACCAACAGTACATGAGGGTTCTGTTTTCTCCACAGCCTTGCCAACACTTGTTTCTTTGTTTCCGATTTTAGCCATTCTGACAGGTGTGAGGTGGTACCTCACTGTAGTTTTGCTTTCCATTTCCCTGATGATGAGTGATGTGGAGCATATTTTTATGTGTCTGTGGCCATCTGGATGTGTTCTTTGGAGAAATGTCTATTCGTGTCTTCTGCCCATTTTTAAATTGGATTATTTGTTTTTTTGGGTATTGAGTTGTATCAGTTCTTTATATGTTTTGGATCCCTTTATTGGATAGGTCATTTGCAAATATCTTCTCCCATTCACTAGGTTGTCTTTTATTTAGTTCTGTTGTTGTTTCCTTTGCTGTGCAGAAACTTTTTATTTTGATGTAGTTCCAATAGTTTGTTTTTGCTTTTATTTTCCTTGCCTCAGGAGACATATAGAAAAATGTTATAGCCAATATCAGAGACATTTTTTTAAAAGATTTTATTTATTTGAGAGAGAGAGTGAGTGCATGAGCAGGGGGGAGGGGCAGACTCCCCTCCGAGCAGGGAGTCCACTGCAAGACTCAATCCCAGGACCCTGGGATCATGACCTGAGCCAAAGGCAGATGCTTGTCCAACTGAGCCACCCAGGTGCTCAGGTAGCATATTTTTAATAATATTTGTTCTTCTAATCCATGAGCATGGAATGTCTTTTCATTTCTTTGCAATGTCTTGAATTTCTTTCATCAGTGGTTCATAGTTTTCACAGTCCAGGTCTTTCACCTCTTTGGTTCAGTTTATTCCTAAATATTTTATTGTTTTTGGTGTAATTGTAAATGGGATTCTTTTGTTTTCTTTCTTTTTTTTTTTTAAAGTAAGCTCTACATCCAGCATCAGGCTTAAACTCCTGACTCTGAGATCTGGAGCTGCATGCTTTACTAAGCCAGCCATGTGCCCCTTGGATGGTTTTCTTAAAACACTTTCTGCTACTTCATTAGTAGTGTATAGAAATGAGATGGATTGCTGTACATCGATTTTGTATCCTGTGAGTTTACTGAACTCGTTTATCAATTCTAGTAATGTTTTGGTGGAGTCTTTAGGGTTTTCTATATATAGTATCATGTCATTTGCAGATAATGAGAGTTTTACTCCTTCCTTACCAATTTGGATGCGTTTTATTTCACTGTGTCATTTAATTGCTTTTGCTAGGACTTCCAGTACTGTTGAATAAAAGTGATGAGAGTGTCTTGCTTCGACCTTAAGGGAAAAGCTCTGTTTTTCACCATTGAGTATGGTGTTGGCTGTGGGTTTTTCATATAAGGCCTTTATTATGTTGAGGTATGTGCTCTCTAGACCGCCTTTGCAGAGGGTTTTTTTTTTTTAATCAGGAGTTGATGTTGTACTTTGTCAGCATTTATTGAAATGATCATGTAGTTTTCATCCTTTATCTTGTTGATGTATCTTATCATGTTGATTGTTTTGCAAATAAAGAACCACCCTTACAGCCTGGGGATAATCCCACTTGATCCTGGTGTATGATTTTTCAGTGTATTGTTGGATTTGGTTTGCTAATATGTTGTTGAGGACTTTTGCATCTGTATTCATGAGAGATATAGATCTGTAGTTCTCTTTTTTTGTGGTGTCTTTATCTGGTTTTGGTATCAGGGTAATACCTCATAGAGTGAATTTGGAAGTTTTCCTTTCTCTTGTATGTTTATGAATGATTTGAGAAGAATAGGTATTAACTCTTCTTTAAATGGTAGAATTTGCCTGTGAAGCTATCTAGTCCTGGACTTTTGTTTTTTTGGAGTTTTTGATTACTTCTTCAATCTCATTGCTGCTAATTGGTGTGTTCAAATTTTCTATTTTTTCCTGTTTCAGTTTTGATAGGTTATATGGTTCTAGGAATTTATCCATTTCTTCTAAGTTGTCCAATTTGATGGTGTGTATGTTCTCATAATATTCTGTTAACAATTGTTTGTATTTCTGTGGTGTTGGTTGTTATTTCTCCTCTTTCATTTATGATTTTATTTGTGTCCTCTTTTTTGATGAGTCTTGCTAAAGGTTTATCAATTTTTTTGTTAAGATTTTATTTATTTATTTATTTGACAGAGAGAGACAGAGTGAGAGAGGGAACACAAGCAGGGGGAGTGGGAGAGGGAGAAGCAGGCTTCCCGCAGAGCAGGGAGCCTGATGCGGGGCTCGATCCCAGGACCCTGGGATCATGACCTCAGCTGAAGGCAGGCACTTAACAACTAAGCCACTGAGTCGCCGCAATTTTGCTGATCTTTCCAAAGAGCTAACTTCTGTTCTGAACTATTGATCTGTTCTATTGGTTTTTTAGTTTCTATATCATTTATTTCTGCTCTAATCTTTTTTTTTTTTTAAGATTTTATTGTTAGATAATCTCTGCACCCACTATGGGGCTTGAACTCACAGCCCTGGGATCAATAATCGCATGGTCTACCCACTGAGCCAGCCAGGTGCCCCTCTGCTCTAATCATTATTATTCCTTCCCTTTTGCTGGGTGTGGGTTTTATTCTTTTTCTAGCTCTTTTAGGTATAAAGTTAGGTTGTTTATTTGAGATTTTTCTTGCTTCTTGATGTTGGCCTGTATAGCTATAAACTTCCCTCTTAGAACCACTTTTGCTGCATCCCAAAGATTTTGGACCACTATATTTTATTTTAATTTGTTTCCATATAGTTTTTGATTTCTTCTTTGATTTCTTGATTGATCCATTCATTGTTTAGTAGCATGTTATTTAACCTCCATGTATTTATGCTCTTTCCAGGTTTTTTCTTATGATTGATTTCTAGTTTCATAGCATTGTGGTCAGAAAAGCTGCGTGGTGTGACTGATTTTTTTGAATTTGTTGAGACTTGTTTTGTGCCTAATAACTGATCTGTTCTGGAGAATGTTCCGTGTGCACTCCAAAAGAATGTGTATTCTGTTTTAGTGTGGAATGTTCTGAATGTCTGTTAAATCCATCTGGTTCAGGGTATCATTCAAAACCACTGTTTCTTTGTTGATTTTCTGTTTGGATGATCTGTCCATTGATGTAAGTGGAGTGTTAAAGTCCTCTACTATTATTGTATTACTGTTATTTCTTTATGTTTGTTATTAACTGTTTTATGTATTTGGGTGCTCCCATGTTAGGTGCATAAATACTTACAATTATTTCCTCTTATTGGATTGGCCCCTTTATTATTATATAGTGTCCTTCTTTGTCTCTTGTTATGATCTTTGTTTTATTTTATTTTATTTTTTTTATTTTTTTAAAGATTTTATTTCTTTTAAAGTAGTGCTTATACCCAATATGGGCCTTGAACTTATAACCCTGAGATCAGGAGTTGCAAGCTCTACCGACTGAGTCAGTCAGGTGCACCACTCTTTGTTTCTTTGTTTTATTTTTAGAGAGAGAGAGGGCGGGGCAGAGAGAGAGTCTTAAGCAGACTCCCCGCTCAGCACAGAGCCTCACATGGGGCTTGATGTCACAACCCATGGATCACAACCTGAACTGAAACCAAGAATTGGACACTTAACTGACTGTACCACCCATGCGCCCCTCCACAGTCAGTGTTTTAAAGTCTGTTTTGTCTAAATATTGCTGTCCTGGCTTTCTTTTGACATCCATTTGCATGATAAATGTTTCTCCATCCCCTCACTTCGAATCTGCAGGTGTCTTTCAGTCTGAAATGAGTCTCTTATAGGCAGCATATAGATGGGTCTAATTTTTTTATCCATCTATCACCCTATGTCTTTTTTTCATTTCTTTTTTATTTTTTAAAAGATTTTATTTATTTATTTGACAGAGAGAGAGC